AGCGAAACGAAAAATATTTAAAAAATACAAAAACAACTGCAAAACGGCAAATTATCGGTAATTATGTTTGTAGTTTTTCAATATTTCCCTTTTAGCTAAAGTCTTGAAATTTCTACACCAAATAGCGTTTTTCAATAGCTTCAATTTGATATAGCCCAACGTTCAGTGTTGAGTATTTCTGCTCATAACTCAGAAAAACTAAAATGCACTGGCTTCAATTTCCCCCCCTGAGTTAGCCTTCCAGTTTATTTATAGTTCAATGGGCACATGTCGTACCCAGACTGCGCGCGGTTCCTATGATATTAACCTTGGTAACCTTGGTTACTATGTAACCTCATTAAATAATACTTTGTGTTATTTATAATCTCTATGGGTATCAGCCTGTGTGGGCGTTGAATAGGGATCTCGTGATATACCCGTGATATTCTACGTCATACCAATTTGTATTTAGTGTGTCGTTGTGACTTGTAAGAAAGTGCTTGACAGTTTTGTTGAAATTCGTTTGTTTGCAGCTCGCAGAAACTGGTAAGACTGGCAAGTTTTATTCCTTAATGTATATTTGATATATTTTATTGTGTATCATAGCGTATTATAAAACAAAACGACTTGACTGATTCTCGAAAGGTCGAAGTTCCCAGATTTAAAATGTAATACCGATCCGAGCTATGGCGTTATCGATTTTTCATATTTGGTTGAAATGGACCCCAGAATTGAAATCGTCATGTTCATGTTAGTCAATACCGAAAATTTCGTGTTTGGACATTCAAGGCGTGAGTAAATTTGAGCATGAAGATTTCAATTTTTATAAGGTCCACTTTTGGCTATTATTATGGCCACATAAAATAAATTCCTTGATTCTCATCACTAGACTTTGAAAATGTCGAAGAGCCGGGAGGTTTATATTTTATATTTATATAATTTATCATCAATAAATAAAAAAATAATTCCTATCATTTAATATTTCTGTGATTTTCAAAGTGAAGTGTCACAAACCAAAATGAATATATTTCTCCACGAACAATGACTGAACCCTTGAACTGAATGCGAAGTTCCGTTAAAATGCAATGAATTTCTTTCAAGGTTCTATTTGTTTGAAATTGGCAGTTTAAAATGGCACTAAAAACCCAATTTTAAATATAAAAAACTTAACTGTCTTGAAATAACAATATGAAATTGGTCAAAGACCCGTACTCAGGAAATAAAATAACAACATAAAACGCTCTCTGAGTTTCCAGCGATATACATACCCTTTTCTAGATATATACCTAATAATAATAAGCGAACGAACGAATGTATTCCTTCCACTCGTGAGCTCATTTACCATTGTCACATATAGTAAAGTGGAAGGAATACATTCGTTCGTTCGCTTATTATTATTAGGTATATATCTAGAAAAGGGTATGTATATCGCTGGAAACTCAGAGAGCGTTTTATGTTGTTATTTTATTTCCTGAGTACGGGTCTTTGACCAATTTCATATTATTATTTTGGTGCTTTGCACTTAAATCCTACAGTTGTAGGTAAATATTCCTGAAGGTCATGGATTTGACTAAAGGTTTGTAATTGATATTCATATTTCCTGATATGGTTTGTTATGATATGACGACAAGGAAATGAGTTGTGTGAGACATATTGTTTGCTAATGATAATTTGTTAGGTGGCTAACAAGCGGCATTCACTTTGGACGTTCGTTCATGCGCAGTTGTTCATTCGTTCTCTTGTAATGGTTGAATAAATAAACCTTTGTGTGTGTGTATTCTTTCCTTTTAAGTGCCCATCCAGGGTCACAAGGCCTGGACATTTACTATATGTGACAATGGTAAATGAGCTCACGAGTGGAAGGAATACATTCGTTCGTTCGCTTATTATTATTAGGTATATATCTAGAAAAAGGTATGTATATCGCTGGAAACTCAGAGAGCGTTTTATGTTGTTGTCTTGAAATATTTTGTCGGGCGGTTCATTTATATTGTATAACAAAATATTAAAAAATTTCACGCGGCTCTTAAAATACAGTCGGGCGGTGATGAGAATCAAGGAATTTATTTTATGTGGCCTATGGGTCCTACTATTGAAGGCCACTATTTGTTGTATATTAGGGGCCGATTACTTGGAGAACTTTCAACCCCGGGGTTGAACTCAGCCCTGTTAACCAGGTTGAAATTTTTTTGCGATTACATGGACGATTTATACGTTCTCGGCATCGATTCCCGGAAGTAAAAAAGCCTTTATTTTGTTTTCTTGTAATAAATAATCACTACCACGTATGCTCGAATAACTCATGATAATTTCAGCCCTGGGTTGAAACGATTACATGACAAAATTTTCAACCCAGGGCTGAGTGAAATTTCAACCCCGGGGTTGAACTCAGCCCTGGGTTGAAAATTTTGTCATGTAATTGCGCGTTTGATTTTGATAGAGTTTTGTATTACAGACAGGGCTGAAATTTCAACCCGGTAAACAGGGCTGAGTTCAGCCCCGGGGTTGAAAATGCTCCATGTAATCGGCTCCTTATACGCCGATCAAAACGAAGGTGTAACATCCCCCCGGGCACGAGAGGGGCATTTACCTTTCGTGACTTTCCCTAGGGGCGGGCATTTGTTGTCGGGAAGATTTAAAGTGGTGGGGCATTTGATTCCACTTATAATGAGAACGGGAATTTGACCGATTTACCACAACTAAAAAAACTTTTAGATCACCTAACATGAAGCATAGATAGTCTTGCTTTCCGCTGACACAAGAAACCGCAGGCATTTACGCACAATCAAAAGCACATTTTTTGCTTTTGTGTTTTCGGACTTTTCGAGTTTTTGAGAAAATGGCGACATTAATAAGTGAGTTTCGTGGCCAAAATATAAGTTATGTTGAAAATTGGTTGTCCCAGAATGGACTAGAGAAGTTAAAGGGAACTTTTGAAGGTATTTGATAAAATTAGAAGTTAGAAATATGTATTTTTCATAGACTTTCAAGATGTATTTCCTGCGAAAAAGCATGGCCATTGGTATTTGAAAAATAGGTTTTGCAATATTTTTTATTCATAGACATAGTAGTTTAGCTGGTTCAGACTCAATTCCGATTTTATAACGCAACAATTTATTTTCTATAAATTTAATACAGCTACAAAACATTCATATTTGCCAATATATTACTATAAAACGAGTCTCTTTCAACTATTGTTCGTGCCATTATCACAGGTTTCACTCCTTGACTAGTGGGAAAAACTGCTTCGACTGGTTGGCCTCAAGAACTCAATACTTTAACCTTCAAATTAAATTTACAATGGGGCATTTGACCACCACTTAGTTGTGGAATGTAGGGCATTTGAACTTTGTTTTTTGACTTGGGGTGGGGAATTTGATCATTGCAAAATCCAAAAAGTCAAATGCCCGGGTATATGCCCGGGGGGGGGATGTTAACCTTCGTTTTGATCGGCGCATTAGTTTCTCATCCAGGGCTTCTCCTAAAGTTGATGCAGGCGGGCGGGCCATCACCATTATTATGCCATTATTTGCCGGGTTTCCCCTCTACTCCCCATAAAATTTATTTTGGAAGCATTTAAGCATTTATATAGTGTGTGTGTATGTTTTATACAGCTGCAACTTTCTGAAAAACAGCACAAAATCAGTAAGTGCAACTGAAAGCATGTTTTCATATTAAAAACATGGCCACTCCATATGTAAAATAATTTTGTACCCAGAATGTCTCGTTAGCTGAGTTTGGATATTTAATGTACGTAAATATATGTGTACGTAATGCGGGGAAAACTGGCAGTTTGGGTATGAAATTTCGTATTTTAACTGTAACATTTGGTTTGGGAACGTTTCTAATTGTCTTTTTTCCGAATTTCACTTTGAAGACATCGCAAAATTTATAATAATGGTCAAATATGACAATAATATACAACAATGCTTTTGTTATCAATGACTATATTATATAATCTGTTCTTTGGGTATAATTAAAAAAGTGTCTAAATGTTTGTTGATATGCACAGTTAAATTTTAAAAACAAACTCTGGAACATATACCGCTACATAATTAAAATATTTACCGCTAAGTAGCTAAATAACTAAACTAACATATTCCGCTAAAATAACTAAACAATTAAACTTTGTATATTGTACAATCTAAATTGTTTGAGAGATAGCACTCACAGCGTTCTCAATGTTAAAATCAATGTTCCTAATATCATACATGATTTTCCTTGCCCTTGAACCCCTCAAGCAGGTAAGTGCCGATCTCAATAAAGCGAATGAGGTTCTGGCTCTTATCCAACTCATACTTGTTGCATAATCTTCTCCTTTCTTTATGGCTACCAACTCTGCCAATCGACTATGGTATCTCACACATTCTTTGCCTATACCGCCTGTGGTGGTGAATACGAGTGGCGTAAATGTTCCTTGCTCTATTTCGAGGACTCTCCTTGCATATATAGGTGCTTCTTCTCGTTTTCGTGTATCTTGTAGACTTGGCGTAGCTCCAGGTCCTTGTACGAATCAGCATTGGGATGACAAACCCTTACATCAAAAAAGGCTGATCGTTGACTTTCCCAGAACCCACACGCATGAATGTCGAGTCTAGCATCAGGTGCTCTGTTGGAGCCTCCATTTAGTTGCTCTGATTACTGATTTATACTATCTTGTATATCCCCGGGCATTTTCACACGCTCCCAGGCGCTTCAGGGCATCCCCGGGCGCTCCGGGCAGTATTTAGTACGACCAATTATTAATTAATGTCGATTTCTAGTCATTTTTCAACGCGCGGTTCCCAAATTCATTACAAACTTTGCCAATTACGTTTCCAAGTTCAAAAGAGTTTTTTTCATGTTGGTTTTCGGTTTAATTTTTCAAAAACCACCCAAGTCTACAGTAGTTACTGTATTCTATTTGATTGACAGGCAAATTTCTTGGCTTATATCTCATTCACAAACATCTCTTTACTCCACAGATTTGCTCTTTCAAAATGGCTTTTGCACACTGGTTAGCCATCTTTATCGTTGGTTTGCTTCCTACCTTATGTTCAGCTACAGTGAAACTAGATGGCCAAGGACAGTCATTCTCCTCTGTTATCAAACAGTTTGAGTACAGTACACGTGGCAATGAACTAACATTGTTTGAAAAGAAATCTGTTGATGAACCTGGATACGTTACAGAACAGTGGTTTACTGGTGGACCATTTGACCAGTATGCAAGAATACGGATATACATTGATGGTGAAAATGAAGCCTCGTTAGATTTCAACGTCAGTATGAGCAGTGCTGTTGATGCGGCTGCTGATAGAAACACGCCATGGTCTACTAGATTGTTTGGTCGTTTGGCTAATAATGGTGGCTTTTTTAATACGTTTAGAATACCTTTTTCATTTCATATAAGAATAACTTTGACCAATACTCATAGTACCGGCGCTCTTTGGTGAGTAAAATAATGTACTGACTGTAAAACAACTTAATAAGCCTTTGGATGCCAGCACTCTTCCCTTGACGAGTAAACTTGTCTGGCGTAAGATAGAGTAAAATAATAATGTTAGGGCATGTTTGGGTGCATGGCAGCTTAATGGCAGATAGTCTGTTTAACCCATTGAGCATCAATGCTCTCCCCTTGACAAGTAAAATCCTCTGGCAGTAGACAGAGTAACAATTAATAATAGTAACAAATTATTTCATTTCGCCTTTTTCCTTTCCACGGATGTTTCCTTTTGGAATGATTCCAGCTATTGACTAATTTTTCATCTAGACAAGAAGGACAAATTCTATCATGATTATACTAGCTCAAAAGCACATCCTAAAATTAGTAAAATGGCAAAGTTTGGTTGCGAAATGTTGTAAAATACGGAAAATATAGCTGGAATTAGCAAATTTTGAGTATTAAATATGTAATACTAAAATACTCAAAATTTGCTAATTTCACAGGGCTATATTTTCCGTATTTTACAACATTTTGCAACCAAACTTTGCACTTTTACTCATTTTAGGATGCTCTTTTGAGCTATAATGATATATTTTGTCCTTCTAGTCTGGATAAAAAAATATTGGAATCATCTATTTCCTGCATACCAATCAGATGTTGCCATTTTCAAATTGTCAATTTTACCACATTAGGAATGTATAGTCACATTCCTGAATATTTTGACACAAAAACATTACACTTCTTTTGAGTGAAAGGAAGGATCTGTCGTTTTGGTGATTCCATTATATGTTTTTAATTTTTCCCAAGGTATATTGTGCGAGGATTGGTTGGTGTTAAATTAGCGGTTGGGTCATTTGAATTGCCAAACAAAACAAGACTCCGGGTTTACAAACAGGACAAGGTCATAGCTCCATTTGACTTTGTGACACTTTCGAAAACGAGTAACAAGTCTGGAATGTTATTCCTTGTCACATTTGACATTCATAGCGCTACGGCCACATTTATGGAGGGATGCGTGCGTGCAAAGATCGACAATTCTGACGAAATTACATTTCTCTCCTCTGGCATGGAAGATTTTTTCCTATCGGCATTCTACTTCAATGATAATTCTTATGAAGGCTTTCAATCTGGACTAACTTACAAAGTTGAAGATGCAAGTGGGTATGGTTATACTCATGTTGTTGCATATAAATTTTTTCTGGACGACCCTATCTTGTTCAGACACTCGTTTCAATTGATTTGGCGAAATAATGAGGTTCTTGGTGGTGAAAAAGGATGTCCTGACCGATTTCCAGCATACTTAAAGGGAGAAGGCAAATACACTGACACTTTTCCAGGAAAAAAGAGGTCATGGTCAAATTCAAACCCAGCGCCTAACGAAGCCTATATACAGAGTTACGTTTGGGTGTATGAATGGTAGTTTTGTTTCAATGTTGAAAGAACTGTTTATTGTAGAAAAATTAATATAATTATTCCATTTTTTATTTCTATTCTGAATAATTATTCTATGAAATATTTCTAATGCTTAAGCTTAAAGCTACAATTTATGAACCAATTAAGTTGAAACTTCAACATCTGCCTAATGCATCAGTCAATTCTAGCATTGCCCATCCCCCCCCGGGCAACCCCCGGGCATTTGCACTCTTTTTTTGCCCGGGGGCCGGGCATTGGTACTTGCAAAGTTGTCCCGGGGGCGGGGAATTGTTTACCGGCCGGGAATTTGACTCAACCGGACGTTTCTGCGACGAACACGTGCTATTATATTAAAATGGCGTCGAAGAATTCGGGCGTAAAAACGAGGATTTTGTCGATATTTTCATTCACAAAACGTCACACCAATCGCACATGAGAACTAATTAAAGTTGTGTTTAACTATCTGGCATAAAAACACCTGAATTCATAGTACAATCCTTGTTTTATATTTTGAAACGTGATTGTATATTAACCACTGAACCGACGAGCACGTTTTTCATGTTCAAAAGTTGGGATGACTGCTGTAGCTTTTATACGAGGAAGCTAATAATGTTATGGAAGTTTTGAGATCTAAAATACATTCTATAAATGAGTCGGTGTGCGCTGGGGCCGGGAATTTGTCATCTTATTTTTTGCCCGGGGGCGGGGCATTGCCACGCTTTTTCTGCCCGACCCCCGGGAATTGTCAACTTAAAGAAAAAAAAAGTGCAAATGCCCGGGGGTTGCCCGGGGGGGGGATGGGCAATGCTAGAATTGACTGATGCATAAGTCTTCCATGTGGTGGGTGTTTGATAAAATTCCCCCGAATTTGAACTGGGCGTCTTAAATTTTGCCCATTTTTGCAGCAATAACTTAGGAAAGATTACACAGAAAATTTTCAGTATTCCAGAGACAATGGGGAAATTAGGGCAAAGTGCTTTCTGCCCCCCTCCCCCCAGATTTTTTCCTCCCATACGCCTATGTTTTTGTATTTACTGTTTCATAATTTTCATATGAAGGTGGGACATTTCAACGCTTAATTTCTTGTTACAGTGGGGCATTTGAAGACATTTTTTGCACAGGTGGTGGAGAATTTGATCAGTCAAATTCTGGGGGGGGGGATGTTGAAGTTTCGAATTGATCGGTACATTATGAATCTATAAATTTCATTCTCATGTGATTTCATACTCTATACAAACCTGCTCAGACACTTTATGCAATTAATTAATTAATTCAACATTAAAACAATTACATTGTAAACGTTTGGCCAATCAGTTGCACTTTGAAAACTTGTCAAATAGAGCAAGATAGATAATGATTAATGGAATGGAAAGACACAAGAGAAAAGACTGTTTCATTTTCTAATTAAATAATAATTATGAATTAGGGTATTCTCCAATATCGTGTATGATAATTAATAAACTACAATATGTTTTGCCTTAATACAATTTTGCCTAGTCTACTTGCTAAAATTGCATTTTCCCCATTGGAAAAATAATACTACTATTACTAACAATCTATGTTAAAAGCGGAGGATTTTGACTCAGTTCTATACTTCTATATCTGCAGTCCTGGCATTCAGTTGATTGATTTGTGATTTGTGCCAGTTGTTTCCCACGGTTCATTCATTAAATAGGAACACAATGCATTGTGAGAAGCAACTGGAGGATTTACTTCAAGTTTTACTAGAACAGTAGATTTTTAATTTGAACAGTAAATTTTACTAAGTTTGGGGAGATGCCTTCTAGTCCCATTTGCGCCTCGCCCATTTAGGGTTTCCGAAAAAATTGATTATATAATTAGACTTTGTAGACCTTTGTACATATACTTTAATGGACCCTAATAAAGACAATAATAATGATTCACTTTGCTATTTTTAACACCATAACCAAGATAGATAACCAGACCTAAACAAAAGTACAGTTGGGGTGTAGTAATCAACCTTATTTGCAGATGAAAGATAATCTGGCAGTCACCTTTGTCACAGAATAAAGACATACAGAAGTGTAACTTCCATTACAAAACCGTAAGGCGCTTTTTACCGAAATAGCTGGCGGCCATGTTCTTAGCAAGTGCCCTAAAGAGAGGCATTCACCCCCTGGAATATTAAATTTTCAATATGTTTTCAGGGGGTGACTGCCTCTCTTTAGGGCACTTGCTAAGAACATGGCGGACTGAAAAAATCCCTTACGCACTTTTAATAAGAAGATACACTTCTGTATGTCTTTATTCTGTGCCTTTGTCCTTATGACCATGCTTGATCACAGAACACGGTGGAAGGGTCAGTTATAATTGACGTTAATGACGTACCAGACATAGGGGGGAGGGTGACTACACCCAGCCCAACTTAGAAAACCATGGAAATTTGGGCAAACGCTAGGAAAAGTCTAGAGAATATGGGCAAATGGATCACAAAATATGTTTAATTCAGTTCACTCAGCTCATTACAATCTTTCGTAAAGATTCGTGCAAACTTTCAAGTCTCCTCTGTAAAAAAATGCCCCCCTTTAAGATTTGATCGGAGTGACATTTGAACTTTTGGTCCAGCGGCGCCGGAAGGACTGAAAAGCGGCGGGGGCAGAATCTTGAAAAGGGCACTCGATCGCCAAAGGCGCGAGACCTCGAGAGAGGAAGACTTATCGCGAATGCGTTATTGTAGTGCCAGAGCATGACTGCGCTAAATCGACTACAGAAATTTAGGTGTGTCAAGAAACTAGAAAAATGTAGAAGGCTTATATAACCACACAAGACGATCAACGTAGCCTGCGTAATCACTGAATGCATGAACCATGAAATGACGTGGTCATAATATACAGCTATTTCAATTAAGGTTGTCCCCGAGCAAAGCGGAAAAGTCGAATACGTGCGCGAAAGGCTGCTGGGAATCGCTAATAAATTCATTAATTTATTAGCGATTCCCAGCAGCCTTTCGCGCACGTATGCGACTTTTCCGCTTTGCTCGGGGGACAACCTTAATTGAAATAGCTGTATACTTATACATATGACGGCAAGTCAACAATAATAACTTATTAGTTAATGCCTTAATCCTTTTGTTGTTCCAAAAAGGGGCAACCAGTTGCCCCCGCACTGCCCCCGCACTGTTAAGGCAGCAGGGGCCACTGCACCCGTGGCTCCGGCGCCCATGTTTCGGTCCAGCACTCTACCCAGTGGTGTAGATTGTAGAACCGTAGAACTGACGATAACAAGGAGGTGGGGTGACAAGATGGGAGGTGGGGTGAGCGTGAAACATGAAAATTTTCAGTATAAATAATATTGGCAGGTTATTATATAACCCTGACTTCTACGACATACTAATTTGCATTTGTTTCAAGATATGTCGTTGCGACTTGTGAGGGGGTAGTTATTTTTCGAGTTAAGCCCTTCGAGTTAAGCCCTCCGAGTTAAGCCTTTTTCGAGTTAAGCCCCTGCCACGCCCTTTTTCGCCGGGGGCTTAACTCGAAGTCAATTAACGTTTTAAGCATTCGAGTTAAGCCCCGACATTTGGTGGATGTAAACAAGTGACGCGTGTATGCTCGCAAAAATATTGGCAAATATTGCCCTGAATGAGCTGTTGTTTACAAATCCTTATTGTGCTCTCTCGTTTCACGATATCATTGTCTGTATAAAACTGTAGGCAAAGCAACAGAGATCTAAGTAAAACATATTTCCTAAAATTGCTGAAATTTTACATTCCCCCTTCAGCTAGCCTGCGCGCAGACTATATAAATATGTCATTATATAGTCTGCGCGCAGGTTACCTTCAGCTCGATCTCTTCCGAAAATTAAGGCTGTCTTAATTGTATAAAGCGTTTCAAATTAAGACATTGCCTTAATTTAAACATAACCCCACGCCAACCCCCACCCTAACCGCTAATCCTAATCTAATTTTAGTCTAATCCAAATCTGGCGACCTTTTCTTTCTTTTCTAAAAGCTTGCTTCACAAGAGGAAAGAGCCTGGGAACGAGGTTGGATAAGCCCCCGGCGAAAAAGTGCGTGGCAGGGGCTTAACTCGAAAAGGGCTTAACTCGAAGGGCTTTAAAATACCTACCCCCTTGTGAGAAAACAATAGTGATGGGCGATACCACCAGTATCGGTTTCGATACGATACCGATTACTTTTTGGTTAAAGTATCGAGGTATCGATTACCCAAACGATTACTTCCTCCAATTTTCAAAAAGTTACATATTTTTAACAGTAACGATTTGATCCGCCATTTCAATCCATAAAAAATAAAAAATAACTTTATTTCTCGCCTTTTTCATAATTTATTCTGTCGGCGAGAATAGAATGTCAAATAAAGTATAAAGGAAGTTTGATTAAATTGTTAAATGCAGCAAAATACCAAAAAGTACATAAATTTTATTAGAAATAACCATGAAAACGATGACACAACTACAAGATTATAATGAATGTCTAATTTTAAAAGTAATCGAAATACTTTTTCGATACCGTGCAGTATCGACTACTTCCTGTTTGGGCCTGGTATCGGGTGGTATCGATACCAAGTAAATAAGTAATCGGTAATCGCCCATCACTAGAAAACAAAGATCGTTTGACAGAGATCGTTTGACAGTTTTTGTTGAAATTCGTTTGTTTTCAGTTCGTAGAAACTGGTAAGACTAGCAAGTTTTATTCCTTATTAATGTATATTTGATATATTTTATTGTGTATCATAAGCTTGGTTTCCGTATGGTCGTAGTAAATATTGAGTCACGTCACGATATGTCGACATTTCTCAATTCTCATCAGATGAAATACAATATTTTAGAACTGAAAATACGCGGAGTGATTATAACTAGAGAATACTTATGATTTGTATGTGGTTTACAGGTATAAACTATCATAAACTGGCCGTTGAGAAAGATCGTGATTGTATTTTTACGACCATTTGGGATTTATACGGAAAGTATATATAATTTTCTGAGGAACGAACAGGGTTTAGGCACAGAATAGATACCGGACCAGAAGGGACACTTCTATGTGTTTTGACTGAAGGAAAATGTCCGAAATTTTTTTATGTGCAATGACGCCATCCTGGAGTGCACACGGCACTTGGTACCTATGTTTTCCTATGAAAAACTTCCGTGTGCACTCCAGGATGGCATATGATGGCGTATTTTCACGTCAGCACTCGTAAAATTTCGGACAAAATATCATCTGAGTGACACTTCTGGTTGTGTATCTATTCTGTGGTTTCGGCTTCGCGCATGCACAAAGCCAAATGACCTTTAAAAAAAGGCCAAATTCTACTAAATAAGGCCAAATTTCATTTTTTTGAGAAAAGCCAAAAAAGAGCCAAATCTTATCAATATTTTCGACGTACATTGGTCAGGTTATCTCTATTCTCTAGGGTTAGAGAAGTGCAGTATGTTGATAGATAAAAAAAATTCAAATTTTAAAGCAAATTTTGTCATTTTTCGGGATGGACCTCTGCGAAGACATTGCCAAAGGTTCCAACCCTCATGATTTGATCGGGAGGCTCCCGATTTCTTGGCAAATCTCCCGATTTATATTTAAACCTCCCTATTTTACGAATGAAAAGAAAAAATGTTACTTTTTCTAAAAGAATCCTTGTAAAAGCCGTTTGCGTACGGTAAAAACGGTTATCCGATCGACAAAAAAGCGGTATTTCGCCAAGAGGGGTGTTTTGTACGACAAAGTTTTGTAATATTTCACATGAAAGGAACAAGGGGGAATTTCGTTCTCGACCAATCAGCGCTTTTGTTTACATTTTTGCCCTAAGCCAATCAGAATGCGTAAAACGCTTCATCACATGAAATTTGTAAACAAACATATGGGGTTACTTCAGAGCTTTGCTGCAAGCGGTTTTTTGTTTTTTTGCCATGAAATTCATATATGTTGTTCTTAAAAGAATTCTCCTCAACTTCCTCGTGGCGATTTTTGATTAATTGCGTGATTGCGAAGATATGGGTCTTCGGACTTTGCGTTGCGCAGGCTTAAATACCACCCCTCGAATTTGTAGGTTCCGAACGGATTAGCGTTTTTAAAAGTCTTTCAAATCGAGGTTTGAGAGGTTTTATTTTTTAAAAGATACTTTTATCTTCATATTTTCACATTAACTTATTAATATCCTGTGTAACAAGTAAACAGGACATTTCCGGCCCGGGACAAGTTGACATGTCGATTTCTTGCCAAACAGCGTGGCAATCAATATGGCGAATATCTAAATACAGGGAATTTTTAAAATTTTGTTGGTATAAATGGGATAAAGAAGCTCATCAAATATTTGGACTATGGACCTTCAAACTTATGCCAAGTATTTATTTGATTGATTAGCTCAATAACTGTTTTTTGGCTCGTTTTTCGTCGATTTCGACATTTAGCCGAGCTTAGTCGACTTCAAAATAATGTGTCAACATTGCGTGTTGCACCCTGTGGACATGAATATTTTCGTTTGTTTGACAATAACACTTGTCTTCATTG